CACACACACACACACAGTTTGCCCTCACAGGACAGTTCAGATGAGCACCCTCTCTCTCTCTCTCTCTCTCTCACACACACACACACACACACACACACAGACGGTTTATTTTTGTGGGCGTCTTCCTCTTGTTGTTCATCTCTCCTCTGATTTTTTCCCAAGCACTTTTTGTGTGCCCAACTGAGCACCTTTGAGTAGTGCCAAACAGTTGGTCATTCCTTATCTGGAGTGCCTACAGCACTCTTAGGGGGGGCCGCTCGGTTCGGGATGTCTGTGTTGCCTGTGGGTGATGACGGATACTCGTCAGGGTGACTCCCTGGTTCAGTGGGTGGTGGGAACCAGCCGTCTGCGGTGTTCAATTGTGATGTGAGTAGGTGTATGCTGCTTTGCTCCGTGTTGGATGTGTGGACTGCCTCGTCTGCGCTCCACCACTGCCTTTCCCGCTTGCTTCGCATGTGGTTCTCTGCAAGTTGCTGTGTTCGCTGTGTGGTGTGGCTGTGTCGCTGGTGTTGCCTTGCGCTTCGCTGCTCTGCTGCCTTGCCGCTCATCCGCTGGTTGTACCTTCCGTGTTCGTTGCTTGCGTGCCTTGTAGTTTGGTTGCCTTGTTGGTGTTGCCTCGTGCTTCACTGCACGATTGCCCGCCTGCTTGCTCGCTCGCCCTGCCATCCCTTGCGGTGCAGTCGCCTTGCTTGTGTTGCCTTGTGCTTCACTACAAAGTTGCTGTGCTGTTCGTCCGCTTGCCGTGTCGTTCCTTGCAGTCGTCTTTGGCGTTCAGCCCCCGTGTTGCCTCTGCAGCATTGCCTGCTGCTTCGCTGGGTTGCTGCCCGCTGCTGTGTTCTGTTTGAGGGACAGTCTGCCTTCAACAAGGGTCAAAGGGTTCATGACCCAAATCATCCAATGACAATCTTGTTATCATCCGTATTAGTTTTTGTCAGTCTTGGTTTGTTTTCGGGACTTGTACTTTATCCGTTTGCCTGTTTTGTCTGCTTGTCTGTTGTTTCCCACCCGCCTCCCCTGTGCCCTCCATCCTTTGCCTTTTGCCATGCACCGTTGCCCTATGCCTTTGTTCTCTGCCCGCCCCCCCCTGACCCTCCAGCCTTTGCCCTTCGCTGCTGGAAGTTGTTCTGTGCCTTGTTGATTGTCTTGTGTCGTTGCTTTTTTTCGGTGCACTGCCCTGAGATCTTGCTATTTTTTCATTGTCTTTTGCCTTCCTTTTACAGTCCTGTGGTCTGGTGCCTTTGGACTCTCGTCCTTAGGTCTTGGTAGGGTTGGTGAAAGATAGAGGTCGATGTATGCGCAGGTTCTGTTGCTTTCGCAATTGGGATGTGTGTGCCTTCTCCATACGATGCGGATCACTCTAGGTCCTGGTATGACTTTTGATCGCACTTTCAGACACTATACAACACACACACACACACACACACACACACACACACACACACACACACGCGCGCGCGTGGCTCTTACAAATTGATCGATGAGGTCATTGAGGTGGAATGTACTTCGCACGGAGAAGGTTATTTCGGATTCGCCGTGAGTGAAGACGGGAGGATGCCCTGGAATGTTGCCCTGATTATTGGGGATTGGTGGTTCCTGGCTTCAAGAAATTCGTTTGGACTCTCCCTTATGCGCTCTCATGTCGAATGGTGTATTGACCCCATGCTCTCGGAGTCGGATTGAACTAAGCCCCCCCCACCTTTTTTGGGGATATATGCTGTGTTTTAAACAATAGGGCATCTGTGTCCAATGGTTCTTTACCTTGTTTTTTGTCCTTCTAAAATGTTGTAGTAGACTCAGTGCTGCTCTCTTGATGTGTTTTTGGGCATGAATTATGGCGCAACATGCCGTGACACGGTCGCGGGAGTCG